AGAGAGTAACCAAAGGGTAGAGTATGCATCTAGATTAGATTCAAGTGGAGTGAAATGCTGGACTTGTGAGATAATCAACCAGCAACCTCTGCTTTTTAAAACTATCATGTGAACATGGGTTGTGAACTTTTAACCATTTAAAGGAGCCTTTCTGATTCATTAATTATGAGAATATGAACCAATCAATGCTTTGCGTAAACTCTTTGTTCCACTGCTAGAATCGGAGGGTTCAAATGTATGAAAAAAGGTTAGATGTTTCCCTTTTCCCCTCTTTTTCTGGCAAGTGCAAGATATGGACAATGCAGTTAGATTAGTGATGACTTCATGCAGAATAATAAAAACTGCCACTTATTTTCCATACCTTTTTAAACCCTCCTGTGCAATGCATCTTTAATCTGAAATGATACTGGAGATGTATACTGTTTACGAGGACTTCCACCACAAACTGTTGATACTTTTTGCTCAAGAAAGCCTCCCATACAAAGCATCTTGCTCAAATGAGTATCCAAGTCCTATGTTTAGGACACTGGAACGGCTTTCCCATCTAAGATGGTGGAATACTCATTTGAGCAAGAGGCCTTTCTATGGAAGGAATATGATTTGTCTCCAGGCCTTTACACTGCCAGTTGACATGTCTGTCCTTATATGTTAATTCCCATCTACCCTAAACTCTTATGTTGTTTTGAGAGTTAGTTGCATTTCACCAGTCTTACCATATATAGATTCCCGATTTTTGGAATGCTTTCCATACTCAGAAGATAAGTAGCTAGGGCTGTTAGCTGTACATGAGCCCGCCAATGCCTTTTTATTGAACTTGTAGGTTTTTGATATGTTATTACTTTCCTGATCTTACTGTATATTTTACTTAACAGAAAATTGTAGGTGGAGTTAATTTTTCTTCCTTGTTTCTGTGATTAAATGCTACAGGTCAATTTGACCGTGCAACTGCAGCAAGAGAGAAGGTTGGTAACAGAGTAAATTGTCTCACTATATTACATTAGATTACTTCTAACTCTGCTGAGTCAACTGTTTAAATATTATCATTTGGTTATGTCATGTGGAATAGTTGCACTGTTTAAGATACTGCCCTGTTGATTGGAGTACACGCTTGTGCTACATATTTTCATTAGAATTTAGATACACATTATTTTCTATGCACGCCACATAATGTCATTCTCATTCGTTTGTTGTTTCAACTCTCAGACATCTGATAATACAGTCTGATGCATATATTATCCTGATCCTATTCTACTTGCCTCAAAATGTACATGGCTGATCTCGAAATCCCAGGCTTTTCATCTTTTTCTCATGAAAGTATCGACTAATGACGAAAGATGCAGCTGCCTATTAAATGTCGGTCAGATGTGTCCTTGCCAAGTGTGACGTTACTGGAGAGGAAGAAATGCTATCTCCAAGCGCTGCATATCTTAAAGTTACTGCTCATTTATCAATCCCTATGCCATATGTTAAGTAGTATATATTTTTTTTATCAGTTTCTGCCCAACTCATGTACATCGCTGATCTTGTAATCCCAGGTTTTTCATCTTTTTCTCATGAAAGTATCGACTAATGACAAAAGATGCAGCTGCCTATTAACTGTCGGTCAGATGTGTCCTTGCCAAGTGTGATGTGACTGGAGAGGAAGAAATGCAAGCTGCCAAGCTCCAATCGCTGCATATTTTAAAGTTACTCCTCATTTATCAATCTTTGTAGCATTTTCCTAAGTATATATATATATTTTTATCAGTTTCTGCCCAACTCTTTCTTTTTGGACCATGTGATATCCCCGGCTTAGGGGCCCTGGGGGGAAATGGGATGCTATCCCATTATCCACCTTTCAAAAGGAAATATTTGCTATTATCTCAGACCTCCTTTTCTTTTTAAAAGTAGCAGTGCTATGGTTAGGACTGATGTATTGTAATGATATATAAGACAAAAGGAATAAAAGTAGTAAGATAGAGGAATTTATTCAAGTAAAAATGCTCATGTTTTACAATATATAATGATCGTATTTAATTAAATTTCTTGTAATAAGTGGGAATAAAGTAGTGATAGTTGAAAGTTGAAACCGAAGGACGGAGTAATTGCCACTACTACTCAACATTTCTCATTAAGAAAAACTAGGTGATATCGTATTGTTTTTTATGAAACAAACATGAACTATGTAGTTTGAACTCTTGATATGAAGAATATGATTGGTTCGAGGGAAATGAGGGGGAGAGGAGTAATTTTTTAAGGGTTTTTTTAACATGTGCTATTAAGATATCTGTTAAGGATATGATAATTATATTTTTTTTATAGTAATTAGTATTGAAAATATAAAAGTTTGTTTTTATTTAAACAACTATCTAATTAAAATAATTTACATGGCATTAATGAAAAAATTAATAATAACTTTTAAAATTTTTAATATTAATTAATGTGAAAATGATGCAATAATTATACCTTTAAGGGTACAGGTTAAAAAAACTATTTTTTAATCAATCAAATTATAACATTGACAAATAATACAATATAATTGGTAAAAAAAGTCCATACTGCCCTTTTGGTTACTTCAAGCCAAATATACCCTAAGAGCTTGAATGACTTGGAGTCTTGGGTATTCTTTTGCTATATTTGATATTAAGTAACGTTGTATTTGATATTAAGTAATGACATGCAGACCATCTATTTTTACAACTTTTATTTATAATTTTCAAATATTATTAAATGAGAAAATGCATATAATATCACGAGTCTCATAGTGAGAAAATAATGAATTTTTAAATGACATGTAAGATTGTATGAAAAAATCATATAAAAATGTTTTCGCTAAACCATTCATTTTCATTTCATATTTTGACATTCTAAATTTGTAAGTTATGTTTGTTAGACTGGTGATTCTTAGTTGCACCTGCATGTGCTAGTTATTGCTTGATTTTTGTTCTCTCTCTCTTTTTGTTTTTTCCTTTTTTTTAAAAAAAAATAAAGCTCAAATCAATTAATGATTTCAGGAAAAAAAAAAAAGAAAAAGAAAAGAAAGGACCCACACTTGTTTAATTGAGAGTTTAATAATTTTAACCAAATTAGCATAAACTTTGCAAGATTAAATGAGATTAGATTTAAGTTTTCTCTCAACATGTGGGTGTGGGGGGCAGGCAAGTCAAATTACCAAAGACACAAAACTAGAAGAGAAGGCAAGTAAGTTATTAGAATGGCCGATGGGTTCATTAGAAGATAATAATAGCATTAAAAGTATTGGGGGGGACCTGCCTATTATGCCTTTTAAGACTTAGATAATAAGCCATCATTAGCTAGTTAGGCAATTGTACTAAGAAAATAAAAAACCATCTGAACAAGTATAATGATTGGGGTGATGATATGGAAACAGGAAGATTTTACAGGACCAATGACATAACTTGCTAATTGTCTATAATGTATAACCCTTTTTTAAGTAATATTCTGATGAAATAACTATCACCTTATATTCGTCCTTTATTTTCATTCCATTTTATCATCTCAATTATTATTATTCTAATAATTGGCTCCAAATCATTAATTAGGCAATCTGATAGTAAAATTACATGTATTTTTAGTTTTAAGTTTATAATTCAATCCATAATCTCTCTAGCTATCAAATAATAATAATAATAATAATGATTGGCTCCGAATTTTCCACAACTGATTAAAAAAATAAAAATGGGCTTCCATTCAGCCTCATAATTTTTTATCCTTAAATTATTTTCTTTTTTTTAAAAAAAACTAAATGGTCCATTTGAGTTAGAAACTGAAATACTGAAAAATAATTGTAGCAGTTAGAAGGCACCATAAAAAAGAAAAAATTTACCGATAAAAAGAAAAAGAAAAAATAGAAGTAGTCACCATGAAAAATTTGAGAGCAAGGCAAAATGCCTTTCTAATTTTGCTAATCGGCCCAACATTTTAATAATATAGGCCTGTTTCACTGTTATTATTAGGCTATTTGCTGGTTTGGCCCAATTTCAGCCCAGTAGTTGGTTGATTGCTGCTACTACTGTCTAGCCCCGTTCGAGTTGAAAGTCAAAGGGAATATTATATTTTTTTATTTAATTAATAAATTAAAAATTATT